ATTGAGATAGCAAAATATGATAAATATTGTATAGTTTTCGGGAACTTGCATTTTTTATTTAACTTATGGGGTATACGTGCCAAAGCACATGATTCTTGAATATGATCACTTTTGGAGAATTTCTAGTTTCCCACACTTGAGCAACTCCAATATGAGTCTTAACAAATGTAAAAGTTAAATTCACATTGGTTATCTATTTTCTAAGTGGATAATAGAATTTTTATCTATATTTAATCCATTTTTAAAATTTTCATTATCCAGCCTATTTTTTTTTAGATAAAGTGAATGAAGAACTGATTTTTTAATCCATTTTGCCACCACTGTCGTTGATTTTCTGATCTCATTTTCGGCTGAAAATAATCTTACTATCCCTAAATAAAGGAGAAATGGAGGCAAGGGGTTCTTCCACATATCATCATTGCAATTATAAAAAGTGACAAAAAGAAATGTTTAAATTAGCACATACAGGAAAAGCACAAAAACAGTACAGAAATAATACCAAGTACGGAGTACTACATTTTTTTTTGTTGCTATTCATAACTTAATGACCAGTGGAACTATATGTACTTATATCTTCCAACAAAGTAGTCAATCCAGTGTAAGATGACCCTCCTTCTTCAATAGCCTTTCTTGCCATCTCCTTATACGCTTTAGCTCTGTTTCTGAATCCATCTGCTTCTTCACTCACCATTACTCTCTTTATTGCCTTAGCTATTGCTTCTCTTTTCACTCCTTCACTAGCTGATCTCTTCCATTGTATCGAACCAACACCAGCTCCAGTTTTCAAAACCTCAGTCACTAACTTCTCATTGAAAAATTGCTCAGCAAATACAGGCCATGTTACCATTGGAACCCCTCCTGAAACTCCTTCTAGTGTTGAATTCCAACCACAATGTGTAACAAAAGCTCCCACAGATTCGTGATCAAGAATTAGTACTTGGGGTGCCCATCCTCTTATTATTAAACCTTTCTCTTTCGTTCTTTCCTCGAATCCTTCAGGCAACCAATCTTCGTTGTCTAGTTCTGTTCTAACAACCCAAATGAATTCTTGTCCGGAAGCTTCAACTCCCATAGCAAGTTCGTGCAGTTGTGATGCAGTGAAATTCGCTACGCTTCCAAAACAAATGTAAACGACGGAACTTGGTTTCTTCGAATCAAGCCATTTCAAGCACTCGTGTTTATCAATAGAGGATTTCTTTCCTCTTTCAGCTTTATCTTCAATGTCCCTGTTGCACATCGATAGAGGGCCAATAGCCCAAGCTCTTCTACCCAGCACCTTAGTATAATGCTCAACATAATCTGTTTCAAGCTCATAGAAACTGTTGAAAACAACTCCATAGCTCTTTGAATCTGATTCCCTGACTGTTTTTATCATCCGGGTCATAGCCGTCTCTTCCCCAGATCGCTCAAACGGAGACACCTGGGTTCTGGTCAGCTTAATTTCGTGAGGCAAATCCGGTACAACAAAAGTTTCAGAATCTGAGGACACATTCTTGAAAGGCTTATTTAGCCTGACGCTATTCTCAACACAAAGAGCAAAGAAGCTTGTGCCATGAAAGACTATTCTTGGAATGTTAAATTTTGCTGCAGTATCAGTAGTCCAAGGAAGGAACATATCTGAAATAAGACAATCGGGGCGACATTCTTCAATAAGCTGTTCTAGTGGTTCTTGCATCATAGCTACAGCTTTGAAAAAGTTTGGGAGCTTCTCATCTGAAGGGATTTGATCGAGGCGTTCGCATTCTTCAGGTAAGCCGTTTTCAACAGCTGGGAATTTGATCAAACGGATTTCGATTTCGATACCCAAATGCTTGTTTCTTTGAATAGCTTTGGAGAAAACGAATTCATTGAGTGGGGTTGTGATTATAGTGGCCTTAACACCACGTGAAGCAAAGAGCTTCGCCATGTCTAGTGTAGGAATCATGTGGCCATGAGCCATCACAGGAAAGAAGAAAATATGGAGCTGACCCATTTGTGAAAATGCTTGAAAGAAAGAAAGAAAGATGTACTCCTAGTTTAGTAGCAGAAAATAGAAAGAAATATAAAGCTGTGTGGTTGTTTTCAGTTCTTGTATGATTGCATGAGTGTTTAATGCTGCAGTTACGAGAGTACTCTCACTTTATTTATACGTGGAATTAGTTGTGACTTTCGTTGAAGCTACATATTAGTATGAGTTAAGACTGACTTTTCCTTCAAGGAAAAAAGTTTTTCAATTATTTTGGTTGAATCAGAGTACGTACGTAAGCACTCGCGTGATTGATTTAACAGGCAAAGACATAGAGCCAATCATAAAATGAAGATAAAGTGGTGGGGGCCTAGGGGTGGTGACTCCCAATTTCTTAGAGAAGAGGGCATTGTACGAATACAGATGATGAATGTGACATATGCTCTTCCGTCACAACTCACAAGTCGAGCGCAGACTCAATTTTTGCCTTTTTCGTTACCTTTAAGACCAGTGTTCTGTTCAAACACGAAAACTTTGTTTAAAGTTTTAACTTTGAGATAGATCGTGACATTGGATCCTAGATGTGCAATTTACGAGTCTTCTAGAAGAAGCATTTTGTTCATTAGCTATTAACTTATTGTAGCAGGAATAATTACCATGCAGGGGAGCATCTGATAGTATATCCACTGGCCGACTCGGACATTCTTCTATAATTTAACTGAGCTTTCACTATTAATAGGCTATTTGGCCAAATTTTTAAAATTAACTTTTTAAAGTACTTTTTAAAAAAGCGTTTTTGGTGAAAAACAGTTTGTGTTTTGCTAATTAATTTAAAAAACACTTTTGAGCAATAATTAGTATTTGATCAAGTTTTTGAAAACTATTTTTAAATATTTTTTTTTAAATGCTTATCAGAAAATTAATAGAACAACCCTGCATATAAGAGAGATGTTACTCGTAACTTTTTATGTGGGATCTCATAGCAAAAGTTGCCCTCTCCAATTGTAAGACTACAATGACCTTGCGTCACACATTATTACATTTTAATTTCTTCTGACTTCGTTAACCAATTTAGATGTCCAAGTAATTATAACACATAGGCCTTTAGGCAACACATCTGGGTAAGTTTTCGCTCAATGTGTTAATCACAGCTGTATGAACATTCTTGACATACCTTCTGCCTAGTGGTCGAGTTCGGAAATTTTACTATGGGAAAACACACTAAGAAGATAAAAGAAAAATCAACATATAGTATATATATACATAAAATTAAATTTTTGACCTAATTAGATAATGTGATTTTTCAGCAAAAGGGAGTCAATAAACACCCCTCAGCATAAGGTGGCTCCGCCCCTATTTCTACCAAGTGTTGTCGTCTAACACCACGGATTTCAACCACATCATGTAACGACGTAGATTTTGGGGGAGTAACAATAAGACGTACAATACATTTTCATTCATAAACAAAAACATCCTAACACTTAGCACACCAAGAGGAACCTACTGACTCAATACATATATATAATATTTCTGTAAATCTAGATGTCATATATATATATATATATGTAATTTATAAGTTGTAACAAAAAATGGTTTAATATATATGCACAAAACAGAATCTGTGAGCACAACTTTATATTAAGAAAGCGAGAGAATATAATAGATTCCTATTGTTTTTCGATTATCGTCTCTGCAGTACCATTCTTAAACTCCTCATACCAGACATAGATAAGTTCCAATCATTTGTTACTTACAAAATTAATTTGCTTAACACAAAGAATTAACAGTTTTTTTTAAAAAAAAGACACTCCCTTCCACGGTAAGTCCAAGTATTATTCTCAAAAGAAACATCGGTGAAATGAGCCAAAATTAAACTTTGAAGGATAGTAAAAGCAGCAAAAGTTAATCCAGAACTAAAGTAAGAATTACTTGGAAACGGTTAAGAAGGTGCATAATTAAGTTATCTAGATTGCTTGAAAAATCAAAAGACCAGAACCTTGTCACTTTTTTTGTTCTCTGGTATTAATTCTTTTTTATATACCTTTGAGGATAAGATATGCTATATAATGAGAAACCAAAAGTTCTAATTGATTGATCCTAATAATTTACTAACAACAATTACAATTTTTTATTACCTTCTCTTATTTGACAATAAATAAGTAAAAACTGAAAATATATCAAATAATTGGTAGATAAAGGAAAATACATAATTTATATTCCAATAAACAAAGTCATTTTGCATAAACAGACACTTGAATATAATTCCAAAAAATATCACAAAAAGATGAGGCCTCCAACCATTTGACAAATAAAATTATGCCAGGATTGTTAAAATTCACAACCCATATATCTAAAAATCTTTTTGCAGTGTAAAGATAAACTTGCCAAGCTCTCCTCTTCTTGAAATTTAAGATCGTGACCACCACCATGTAGATAAAGTAGAAAAGATTATCTCCAAATATCATTTAATAGGAAATATATAATAAAGAAAGGAATATTGGTAAGAATATTATAGTTAGAATATAAGGATCATTGGATTTTTCCTCTCTGTGCCTCTTTATCGTACACTCGTACTCCTTAAAAAGCCTTGCCCTTGAAGCATACATCGTCATTGGCTATCCAATATTAATCAACACAAATACTTCAAAGCTTGAAATAATCTTAAATCAACTGATTTTGTTTGATCAGAATTGGGGCAAAAGTACAACCTATATAATCAGTGTGATTTTCAGTTACAAGTTAATTAGTTAATTATTCTTTTTTATATTCCATAACTGAAATCCTCTTATAATTGAGCATTAATTACATCTTTTTATATTCCATAACTGAAAACTTCCAATAAACCTCATTTGTTTTCCTTTAGTTCACTTCCGTGGATAGTAAATGCGTTCTCTGTATTAAAATAGATAAATAAGTTTCTTGGCTAAAGAAAGGTGCCAAGTCACCTATTTTATTTTCTTATATATATAAGGGCAAAATAGTAATTTACTTTTATTCTTTTTCCAAAAGGCATGCACTACTTTCTGTAAACACGTGTCAAAGACGAGACATCCCAATTCATTTCCCTCTGTTGAAAAAATCATTTCACTCCACTGACCGTGAGCGTGAGTCATTATTCATCATCTTCTTCTACTCTTCTTTTTTTGAATCACAGCTTCCATGGCAGCCATATCTAACCTTTAGCACCACTTTACTTCAAAGTCTGACTTACCGCTTCGTTCTTCCCCTTTTGTCCCTCTCAACCTCTTTTATTTGTTCACCTGGTAAGTATTCTTGCATTGGGGATTGTCCCTTTTTCTTATCGATTTTTTTTCTCCTTTATTCATTATTTATTAGTACTATTTATCATGGGATTCTTTAATTCTACTTTTTGTGTGTCTTATTATTGTTGTAGGTCTTATTCTTGGTCTTTCTCAAATTTTCTTGAATTCTTTGAGTTTTTATGAATGCCTATTCAGCATATTCAACTTTAAGGTTAAGGTTAGGGTATATGGGCGGTGTCTGATTCTGTACATGCATCTTCTCTTTTCAATATTTTGTATCAAATTTCAGAACTACCGGTATGATGGTGTTGCCTTCACTTTGATTATGGACCAATTACTGTCCGATTCTTTTATGTTCACTTCCGCTTCTTCTATCAACTGACCATGTACATGCATGTGATCATTCTTTATTGTATTGTGCAATTACATTTTAGAGATAGTCATCTAATCTATTCTTTATTTATTTTGTGTGATCTTGGATCTCATGCTCTATGGTCTTTTGGCAATCGCACCTTCTTGCCTCTATAAATATTATATGCTTGCTCTTAAAAATTAAAATTAAAATAGCATCTTCGCATGGAAAGCTACAAGAGTTGAACCCTAAAGTTCAGCCAACAGAGGAATCGATCCAAAAATCAGAATCTGACAAATCAGTGAGGCAAATCACTCCAGCTTCAGGGGTACAGCAAAATCTAGTCCCAATACAGCTGGCTAGCTGGATACCAGGGACCTCGAGTCAGGCTGAGAAAAGGGAAACCCAGCAAGTTAAAAATGGAGAAGAAGTTCATACCCGACCTGCCCGGAAATTGACCTTTGCAACAGAGACGCCACATGCAACGCCAAAACTGGCAGAGGTGGTGAAGAATAATCGAACACAAAATCAAGGTATGAAACTCAAATTCTATCCTCCGGTGATGAAAGATGGGATCAAGGTTGTGCAATTGAATCAACAGGAGATTGATAAACAGAGGTAGAAATGGCAATGTGCGCTTATTGGGTATGTGTTTGGAGGAACCCCAAAATTCAAGGAAACGCTTCAGTTTGTATATGGGGTTTGGCATTTTGTGAACACACCTCGGGTCTTTCTACATGATGATGGGTACTACATTTTTCAATTTGAATCTGAAGAGGACAAAGCCTGCATAATACAAAATGGGCCTTACACATTTAGGAATAGGCCAATGATTCTGAAACAATGGAGTCCAGAATTTTAGTTGCACAAGGAAGCAATGCGTATATTACCAATATGGGTGTGTTTCCCTGGATTGCCACTCCTATATTGGTCTTGAGGAAAACCTAGGGAGAATTGCTAGCTTCCTAAACAAACCTATGTGCACTGATGTTCTAACAGCTAAAGGTGAAAGAATATCTTTTGCAAGAGTTCTAATTGAGATAGATATCACCCAAATATTACCTGAATCTGTTAATGTTGAAGTCCGAGATGGTGGTATTTGGACCAAAAGATTGAGTATGAATGGAAGCCTACTCTATGTCAAGAGTGTATGCAGGTTGGACATAAAAAGGAGAAGCGTCCAAAACAGAAGCAGGGACTGCAAGGCTTTATCTTGAATTCCAATCAAGATAAACACACTAGGCAAGTATGGCAGCCTAAACCAAAAGCTAAGACAGAAGAACCAACATCTCCTACAACAGTGATACACCAGGAGGAAACTCAAACTGCCCCTTCCCAAGTTCACACTCCTACAACAGTGATACACCAGGAGGAAACTCACACTGCCCCTTCCCAAGTTCAATTTAGAGGGAAGCAAGTGGTAGTGTTTCAAGGAAGTAAGGAGATCCCACAGTCAGATGAAGAGTCAGATAATGAATTGGATCTTAATCAATTCAGTAAGCTATGCTTAAAGATTGGAGAACCTGCAAGTAGAAGAACTAAGGGGAGCAGAAAAAGTAATACTGGAAAGTTGCAGAGGGATGGTCCTATTGCCAAACCTCCCCCATGATTTTCTGCTCATGGAATATTAGGGGGCTTAACAAGCCCTTTAAGCAAAAAGAATTCAAAAACTTTTTGCTCAAAAATAAAATTGACTTAATAGGATGTCTAGAAACAAAAGTTAGACAAAAAAATGCCAAAACAATTACTAGAAAATTTCATACAGATTGGAGGTTTCATTATGATTATACTCAAGTCCCAAATGATAGAATATGGCTATGCTGGAGACAAAGCTGTGTAACTGTTACTATTTTGGAAAGTACCCCACAGGTGGTACACTGCTCTGTTGAAGCTAAGAACTCTCCGTTCCAATGCAAGATGTCTTTTGTATATGGTTACAATACTACAAGGGGGCAGAAGGGTACTATGGGAGACACTAAGGCACATTAGCACTTATACTATTGAGCCTTGGATTATTCTTGGTGATTTCAATGCTATTCTCTCCACAGAAAATAGAATTAATGAGCTGCCAGTACATGTAAATGAAACAGTTGAATTTCAATCTTGTGTCACTGATATTGGACTGGGCCAAGTTAATAGAAAAGGTTGGCAATACTCATGGTGTAATAAGAGAGATGGAGATGATAGAATTTATAGCCATATTGACTGGGTGATGGGTAATGATAAGTGGTTTCAAGAATATGGAAATCTAGAGGTTGTTTACTATAATCCAGAATGCTCAGATCATACTCCCATTGTTATCAGAACATTGATCCCTCGACAAAAGTTGAAAAGACCTTTCAGACTCCTCAATGTACTAATCAAGCAGGACTCATTTAAGGAAGCTGTAAAACAATGTTGGGATCAAAACATCACTGGATGTCATATGTATAGACTATGGATGAAGCTTAAGGCATTGCAAAGTGAAGCAAGGGTTATGAACAAAGAGATGTCTACCAAAGAGATTAGAGTTGAAAAATTACAACAGAGGGTGCAGGAAGTGCAAAACCAAATGGCCAATGACATGTTCAATAATCAGTTAATAGCTGAGGAGAAAGAACTACTTACTCAGTTGGAAAAGTGGATGGGAATTCAAGAGCAAATACTAAGGCAGAAGTCCAGAGCTACATAGATATCATATGGAGATGCCAACACCAAGTATTTTCATGCACAAATGAAAGCAAGACAAGCCAGGAACATGATATCTTCTATTTGCAATGATTAAGGAGTCCTACTCTCAGAGCCAGATTTGGTACAACAACAATTCTTGGAATATTATAAGCAGTTCCTGGGAGATGTTGAGTCACTAATGCCTTGTATTGATACTACTATTGCTAGAGATGGTCCACGCCTTTCATTGATCCAGCCGCAGGAATTACTAAAACCAGTTACTAGAGAAGATATAAACCAAGCTGTTAAAGACTTTCCAAATGATAAAGCCCCTGGTATAGATGGATTTACAGCTGAATTCTTCAAAGCACACTGGGAGACAGTAGGAGAAGACATGATTAAGGCCATCTTACAATTTTTTGACAATGGTAAACTGTTAAGGGAGGTAAATTGTACCACAATCACCTTGGTTCCTAAGGTTTCTTGTCCATCTTATGCTAAAGATCTCAGACCTATAGCCTGTTGTAGTACAGTCTATAAGATTGTTGCAAAGGTGCTAACTATAAAAATAAAACTCATGGTTGATTACCTGGTGGGCCCATCTCAATCTGTATTCATTGAAGGTCGAAATATTTTGGACAATGTGATTATAGCTCATGAGTTAGTGAAGGGCTATGGGAAAAAAAGGAGTATCTCCTAGATGCCTAGTAAAAGTAGATATCAGAAAAGCATATGGTTCTCTGAATTGGGACTTCATGAGGCAAGTGCTAATGGAATTTGGATTTCCTCAGAAGCTGGTCAATTCGATCATGAATTGTGTTTCTACCGTCAGCTATTCATTGCTTCTAAATGGTGGTCTAACTTCTATATTTCATGCTAAGATAGGGTTGAGACAAGGGGACCCCATATCCCCATATCTATTTGTTATAGCTATGGAGTACCTAAATAGATCCTTGAAGCAACTAAGGAACAACCCTGATTTTAACTATCACCCGAGATGTGCAAAAAAGGAAATAGTTCATATTTGCTTTGCGGATGATTTACTAGTGTGTTGCAGGGCAGACAAGGTTTCTATTCTACTCATGATGCAAGCATTTGAGCACTTTTCTAGTGTTTCTGGACTGAAGGCCAATCTGGAGAAGAGTTCATTCTATGTTGCAGGAGTGACACAAGAGTTTAAAGCTCAGATAATGCAAGATAGGCATTTCACTATTGGGGAGATGCCATTCAAATACTTAGGTATTCCATTGTCTTCAAGGAAACTTTCTATTCATCAGTAGACTAGCTCCTACTAGTAAGAAGCTGTTCTCGAGCCAGGTTCCCTAGATCCACGTGTTCCTAGCCGGGCCTAAATGGATGAATGAAGAACGGCGCCCGGGTAGACTTCAAGGAACATAAGGGACAACTAGTCCTCTCTTACCTCGTCAAGTCAATATGTCTTCCACTAATTGGTCTTGACAGCAATTCCTGCATCTGACGTCGGATCTCCTCATTTTCAAATGGGGATAAGCGAGAAGCCGCTTTGCAGGGTAGACTCGCTCTTACCTGCAACTAAATCTGCTTCTATACCCTCCTCTTATCTTAGGGGGTAATCAAGCCGGTACTTGTGGATTCAGGGCGGCATCAATAATTGCTAGAATTCAATGTTGGACCACTAAGTTCCTATCATACAGTGGAAGAGTGCAGCTCATCAAGAGTGTACTGTTCGAGATGCAGACATATTGGGCCCAAGTGTTCCTACTGCCTAAGAAGATTTTGACTATAGTGACAAATGTATGTAGGAATTTCTTGTGGACTGGGAGTAATGAATACTCAAGAAGAGCCTTAATAGCCTGGAGTACAGTATCCTTCCTAAAGCAGTTGGAGGAATAAATATATTGGACTTCTTTACATGGAATAAAGCTGCAAGCTGTGGGCAGTGGGTAAAAAGAAGGACAAACTGTGGGTTCAATGGATCCATAGTATATACATAAAGGGCAGGGAGCTGAACAATATGCCATCCCCAAGCCAAGCCAACTGGTTAGTGAGGAAGATATATGATGCAAGGAAATGGTTGACTTAATCTGGGAATGTGATGGACTGCCTTGAATCATTTGAAGATAGAGAAAAGTTCAGCATCAAGAAGGCCTATCAATCCTTTATACCTACATCTCCAAAAGTTTCATGGAAAAGTTTGGCCCTAGTGAAAGGAATTATTCCTAGGCATTAGTTTATTCTATGGCTAACAGTTCATAAAAAGTTATCAACAGTGGACAGACTACAAAAATGGGGAATTAAAGTGATGCAATACTGTGTTTTATGTAACACAAATGCAGTAGAGACATTGGAGCATCTATTCTTTTGTTGCGATTATTCAAAGCATATATGGAGCTCATTGCTACACTGGTTAGGGGAGAAGAGACCAGTCAGAGGATGGGATGATGAGGTCATGTGAGCATCCAAGAGAACTAATAACTCTTGAGCAAGAGCAGGTATCATTGGTTTCTTATTTGCAGCAAGTATATACCACATATGGGCGGAGAGGAATGCAAGAAGATTCAGAAATCAGAGACGAGAAACAATTGGATGGCCTGAACAGTTACCCAGTATAGATGTTAAAGAGTTAATCATGTTATCACTAGTTATTGACAATAGTTATAGAAGTTAGCTAGATAAGGAACAATTAGAATAGTTATAGAGATTACTGAGAGCTGACTCATGAGTCCAATGAGTCCTTTGTACATATTACTTTTTAAAATTAATTTATGCGAGTAACGTGTTTGATGAATTTTCCGAGCAAAAGGAAGACTTGTGTGTCGTGAGAGATTAGTTGCAAGAGTTGGTTGCTTTTAGCAGTATGTTGCTAGGCTGATGAAGCCGAACTCTGGGTTTCGCTCTGTTTACCGTGCCTATGCTTTTGTCTCAATGTTCTGTCCCAGTGTCGACAAGGGGCTACCACATAAATGTTTCTACAATTACCTTAATTTCTATGGTTCTTTTGTTTGCATGTGTAATTCTACGGTAGCAGTTTTACCATTTCTCTAAATTTTTGTTGACATGAAAAATTAGAAATGATTATAGTTTAGTAGATATTTTTCCCCGTGATATCTGTTTTTTATGTAGTAATTTTCAACAAAAAGAAAAATGATAGATGTTTGTATGTTAGGAAGTCATGCTTTAGGTGATTTATTTTCTCCATGGCATCTGTTAACTTTCAGGTGAGTTATTGAGGAAGAATTGATGAAAGTTGTTGAATTCTTTGATGTTGTTGTGAAATTGGCAGTGAAATTAAAGACTGAAAAGGTAAGTTTTCCACTATTAATCTTTTTGTTGTATGTACTACATTTTAGAAAATATAGCCTATAGCCACTAACTCAGCAAGTTGAGTTGCAAAGTCGGAATCACAATCACGCCGGATCAGGAGATTCTTCAATTTCCAAGCCCTTCAAGTACAATTCCACATTCTTTACAGAGGCTCTGAATTTTGGGTCGCTTTTTCTTGGAAAGAGAATTTCAGTTTTTAGTTTTGTCTACCGATATTGGGCTGTGACTGATTTTGGTGTTGTATTTGTATTAAGTAGTTGTTTTTGGATAAAAGTTGCAACTGTAGTATTGGATACAAAAACCAAACTTAGGAAATACTTCACCTCTAGATTGAACTTTTGTAACTGACTTAGCTTTCTTCTAATATATTTAATATTTCAATTGCAAACTATTGAATTCGGATTTTTGGATTGAATAGAGGGAAGCAATAACTTGACAACATGGTTGTTATCATACTCATAATAATTGCAAATCTGAAATTGGGAGGATGATCATACAAGTATAGGGTGACTGATGATGATTGAGGTCAGTTAGGTGATCTATAGGCTCATATAATATCATGCAATATGATTGAACTCTACTTTGGAGTTCCTGTAATGTGTGGCTTTTTCCTCTGGATGTTTTTTCCTTTATAAGGTACTATGTGTGATTGTTTGAGGATCGTGAAGTTGAATGTAAACAAAATAGTTTATGTAGCTTATTCATGAGTATAGTCAGAACCCTGCATTAGGTAGTTCCTGAAAGATTTTAACTCAACCACAACGTTATTGCAAGGTATTACGCATATCTATCCATCCTTTTTATACTTAAACAAGAAGGAGCATGATCCTCTTGAAGTCTAATTTTCTTTGCCTTAAAGGAACATGATGGGCTAATTGTTTGGATAATAATTATGTTATGCAAGTAAGATGTTAACCGGGCACCGTCTTAGGTAAGAGAAGGGACTAACATATATTTCAAGTATCTAGCACTTTTTATTTCAGATACTCCTATCCTTGAGAACATCTTTCACACATAGATGCAACAGTTATTTCAAAGAAATAAGCATATAATCTTGAGATCATCTTGGGTTATTTCTATGAACCTGAAAACATTAGGTTATTTCTACCAGACGTGAACCTGTTCTTTACATGATCAGCTCTATGTAGCCCTATCAAGAGCGAAAAGTTTCAGTGTGAACCTATTAATTCGATCACCTACAACAGAGCGATGATGATCATTTGATGTACAATATCGCTTATGATAAAATAATTCAAAAAGCCTTTGCGTAGATGGATCCCTTGGATGGCCCAGATTCTACTGATGGCCCGCGCTTCCTTATTCATATTTCATAGAAAGTTGACTCCAACTTGGTATAGTAATAGTAGTTACTCTATTTCATTATGGGGTAATTTACCTCTATTTGTTTAATTATCAACATAATTTACCTTGTGGATAATTCGAACTGCGAAGGATTTTGTAGATTTCCTGTGAATGTAAGTTCATTTTCAAGAGTTTTTTATGCACGAAGTTCACCAATAATTTATAAGATAAAATCTAAAATAGCCACTAGATTTAGTTAGCAAATACACAGTCCAATTTTGACTGTAGAACCTCGATCTGATTGAGTTGTAGCCCAAATATACACACGTTTATTTAAGAATATATATAAGTATTATTTTAGTGTTTCCTATCCTGTTCCTCGCAGTTCTGCGTGAGAATTGAAGCTATTTTCATTTGTTACTTTCTTTACAACCAATTTGTCTTCTTTTGGATTTTTTTGTCCCAAGATGCAAAGAAGGCATGTTGATTTGGTATTTTCTCGGTAGTTGTGGTGAAGTATAATTTATATTATTGATATGGATTTGCATTATGCTGAAACATTATGTGCTTTTATATTAAATTTGGTAACCACTATGTGCATCAAATAAAATCTTCCAATTCTGACTTGGTTCTAAACCCCCCTCCTTTTACTCGATAAACACAATGTCTTTAGGTTAACTATATTCTTGAAGCACTCTTTGTACTACATCCCCATTGTCTCTATCTTTTCACATTTTCATTAATTTTATTGGATGGTGATAATGATTAACATGGATGTTTGACTTAAACTGAACGGAGAATCGTTCCAGCCTATAAATTGGAGACATGGCATACTAGATAGTGCAAGAACTATCCAGATAAGAAGAAGCTAAATGGATTTATCTCTTAATCACATTGCATTCAATTGTAATAGAAGGGATACATAATACAGGGTCAATTGGAAAAGTTAAAACTCTTATTTGAAGAAATGTTTGAGAGGTGTAGATTTACAAAATGCTCGAATGCTATTACAACAATATAGAGATATTATTATGCCAGATATACAGGTTTGGAGTTCCCCCAAATATTTCTGGTATATAATCTTGTGAAATGTTGCTACTCTTACTAGCCTCTAAGAGGCTCCTTGGCTATTCAACATGTCAAATGGTATTCAAGTCCTCAAAACTGAATCACTCATATTTATGACTTGCTGATATATTAATAGTACCACATAGCTGCTCCAGACCACTATAAAAAGAATTGTAGCCGTTCTTTAATATTACCTTCAATGTTGGGCATGTGCCCGTGCTGTAGTACGGGCTAAACCTTACTAGTGTTCTAATTATGGGTGTCTAACGGGCCAGGTCAGTCCGTTTTCGGACCGGCCCAGATCGGTTAAAACCGGAACCGGCCCGGACCGGTACAAGGGGGCCGGGTGGGGCTGGGTTAAAGGAGTAGAGGGGTTTGGTCCGTTCACGTTTTGTCAACCGGTTAATTGGACTGGTCAAACCCGATCAACATAAATTACTGTTTAACCGGTTAACCGGCCCGGTTTAAAAGCTATATTTCATTTTTATTTTATTTATTTTTTAAGGTTTTAGAGTCTAAGGCAATGCAAAACCTTTGAATTTACTCTTTTTTCGTTAATTTACTTGTTGTTAAATGTAAACCTTTCAATTTGTAAGTTTGAATTTTGAAATAAATGTAGAACTTGTAATTTATAAGTGCAATTTTTTTCCATCTTCATTGTATTTTTTATATTTTTACTTTATATTAATATAAATTACAATAGTTATACAAAATACAAAAAAAAAATAAAAAAAAAATAAACACTAACGTAGCCCGACCCCTTGTACTCGTAACCCTTACTGTTCATTTTTTACACGGATGAACCCGACCCCGTTAAATCCGGTAAGCCCCAATTCGTAACCGGCCCGGACCACAACCCGTTCGGTTACTAATTTCCCTACCCAGCCCGGCCCGGCCCACCCGTTAGACACTCATAGTTTTAATATCCTCAAGAAATAGTGCCAGACACCAAATAGCTAAATTATTTTTATTTATTCTGTGATCTCAATTTAATACTATTTTTAATTTTATCGTAAGCCCTAAACCAACGTCCCATCTTTATTAGGGTGGGTATTCGATACTTCAGTACGGTATTTAATAACTATAATTCGATACTTCGGTACGTATTCAGTACATCTATCGTGCATACCAAATACCATACCATAGTGTTTGGAATAAATCCCCCACAGAAATAATATTCACAGTAATAAAAAAAGAATAATAATGTAACACCGAGATATGATAATTAACAATAATAAAAGAGCGACAACAACACCAAGAATTTTACGTGAAAAACCCTTCTGAATAAGGGAAAAAACCACGACCCCGAGAGGAGCAACTGATATCACTATAGTAAGAAATTTTACACTTTGTGGTTCGAGTAAAATACTACAAAGATCACTACAACACTCAAAAGAAATAACCCTCTTTTGATATTTTTACCTCACTACAATATCGCTCACACTCTTTATTTTTTCTCACGGACTATTTTCTTATACCCTGTCTGTGATGCTTCACTCTTTCTTTCTCTCTTTGTTGGCGTGTTTGAAGAAGCGAAAGAGGTCCTCCTTTTATAGGAGAAAAGAGTCGTAGGCTCCAAGTGTGCTACAAGAGCATTTTTAATGTCCTTCAATTATTTCCAAACTTTGGCTCGAAGTAAGATCTTTCACCAAAGATCTCTGCCATTGTATAGGCAAAATAGGCATAAGGCTATTGCCAACTTTTTCCAATCAATAAGATGAACCCCACAATCTCCCCCTCCAGTCCCATTCACCTGAAGGAAGCAACACCGAGGTTGCTAGTTTGAGTGCATGCCGTCAAGTTCTTTGCATAACTCGAACTTGTCTCTTGGTACCACTTTGGTCAGCATATTCGAAGGATTCTCACTTGTATGGATCTGCTTGACCTGCCTAGATGCATCCTCTATCTTTTCTCGAACCCAGTGATGTCTCACGTCGATATGCTTCGTCCTTGCATGATACATGGTGTTTTTGCTCAAGTCCATTGTGCTTTGACTGTCGCAATAGACTATATATTCCTTCTGGTGCAATCCAAGTTCTTGAAGAAACCGTTTCAGCCATACCATGTCCTTGCCAGCTTCAGTAGAGGCAGTATACTCTGCTTCAATTGTAGAAGAGTGCGACACACTTCTGCAACTTTGACTGCCATAATATAGCTCCCCCCTAAAAATGTGAATAGGTATCCAGTAGTAGATTTACGATTATCAAGATCACCTGCCATATCAACATCCGTGTAGCCCTTCAAGATTGGATCAGATCCTTCAAAACACAACCAATCTCCAGCAGTACCTTTTAGGTACCTGAGTATCCACTTCACTGCTTCCTAATGTTCTTTTCCTGAATTTTCAAGGAACCTGCTAACAACACCAACTGCATGAGCAATATCTATTCTAGGGCATACCATTGCATACATTAAGCTTCCAACTGCTAAAGAATAAGGAACTCTAGCTATGTTCCATTTCTCCTCCACTGTTGTAGGACACATCTTCTTGCTCAACTTCAGATGACCAGCAAGAGGTGTGCTGACTGACTTGGCACTTTTCATGTTGAAGCATTCCAATACATGTTCAATGCACTTCGCCTAAGATAGCCACAACTTTCTGCTTGTTCGCTCTTGAACTATCTTCATCCCCAAAATTTGTTGTGCTGGGCCCAAGTTTCATATCAAATGACTTGGACAAATCTCTATTCAACTTCGCAAGCAGCTCTTTGTCTTATCCTACAATCAACTTGTCATCCACATATAACAATAATATAATAAAATTGTTATCAGAAAATCTTTTGAAGTATACATATGGATCAGAATAGGTCTTTATATATGTTTGACTTTTCATGAATGAGTCAAACTTCATGTACCACTGCCTTAGTGCCTACTTCAACCCATAAAGACTCTTATTCAATTTGCACACCATGTATTTCTTTCCAGCTAGTTCAAATCCTTCTGGCTGCTCCATATAAATCTCCTCTTCCAAATATCCATGAAGAAATGTAGTTTTCACATCCAACTGCTCCACTTCAAGAT